CATAAGTGGTTACAAATCAACAGAGCCTGCTGTTCATGCAGGAGGAGGAGGTAAGTTTTGAGCACTGAGAGAAAATCAGTTCAGACTGTAAAAAACTCAAATGGAGTAAAGGCAGAGGTGCTAAGTAATTTTCACTCTTTGCTTTCAATCACAGAATCATAGAAATAATAGACATGTTGGTTAGAAGGGCTCTCTGTAGGATATCAAGTCCAATCTCGAGTCTACTACCCACATTAGATCAGGTCAGCTTTGGTTTTGTCTAGATAAGAATTACTGTAGGATTTCATTACATTTTATAGTTTTATGGCCTTACTGTCTAAACTGATGTATTTTTTCTGTGTTGATTTACACGCTAAGCAGCAAAGCAAGGAAGCAGTATCAAAGAATAGTTTCACTCACACTTCCATTGTCTATCAGTTTCTACTGGGAAAAAGGATCTTGTTCTGACAATCAAGCCAAATAATCTTAGTAATAAATAGTAAATAAAGAAAGCGTTTAACTCCGGTTCCAAATAACCTAATTTTGGTCCTCCGAGTCTAAGAACCAGCATGTGGAATTCAATGCAGAAATACTGAATGCTAAGTAAAGGACAAATTCTCACCAGTGTCAGTGGAACTATTCTAAAGTCAGATGAGTCAAATTTGTCTCAGTCTCTGTAAGAGATTTAAAATAGGAACAATTTTTATGACTGGTTGTCTTTTTATTCAAGAAAATTTCTGAGTAGGAAAATTATATAGAAAATTAAAATTTGTCCTTCTCATTCCGATTTACATGGTCCAGCATTTTATGGACCTAATGATTAATACAGTTTCCCTTAGATGTAATACTAAGATATTCATACATATTATTTCCCTCAGATTTTGTTTATCTACAAAAAATAAAGTCCAATTTAAATGGAAAGGCCAACATTAAACTTTCAATTTGGAGCAACTAGGCATCTTTAACAACAGGTCTTATGTTATTCTTACCTACTTTAAGCTCTTAAAGTAACCAGAGATGGCTCTGAACTGTCAATTTTCCATGTACTTAGAAAAATCAAGCTTTGCTCCTTTGGTTGCCTACTGCTAGGCAATCAAATCAAATATCTTCCAGATATTTACCTCTATCAAAATTCTGCCATAACAGGTGCAAGAGAGACTAGATGGAGAACTTCGGTGAATCCCACATCTGCTTTTTGAAAAAGGCAGCAGAAGCAGCACAGAAGGAAGTAGGAAAGATAATTGCTGGCTTGAACTACAATACATTTTACTTGTGGGCGAAGGGCCAGCTTACACGAGGCAGAACATGCAGGACCAACTTATTGGAATTCAGGGGTGGGCCTCCATTCTTGTCCGGAGACAGCTGTAAACCAGCAGCCCATAGCATCACAATCAGGCACTGAGTTTTGTCAAAGAATGCTGATATGTACAGAAACAGCTTCAGCAGTTTCGGCTGCACCCCTACCTAGCAAAATGACAGTCAATCTCCAATTCCAGATGACAAGAACTGGATAAAAACTTAAAACAAATGGTGACCTTTCAAAAGATTAATTTGTTTACCAACAAAATGTTCTACATTTGTCATCTGAGATGGGGGTGACCTTCACATTCCCATTTCTAGGTTGAAAGGATGCTGACTATAGTCATCTGTTAAGTTAACTCTATCTCACCAATTATTTCCTTTTTATTTTTAGTGACAAGAAGATTTTATTAATATATTCGTGATTACATACCATAATACAAATGCAACAAGCTTATTTTGAATTACTGTGGTGTAACATCGATTTAAGTCTCATTCTGCTACCACTGCCAAATTATGCTTTGACTGTGATTATACCCATACACATAAGTTTAAAACACAATCAGGTTCTGAGGACCAGAAGACCTGTTTTTCTTCTACAACTTGTTCTAGTCACTTGAAATGAAAAGAATTTCCCTGCTTTGCCTTACTTTATAATTTTGGAAATGAATAGACCTTCAGTGATAAGCATTAGTGATTAGCATGATGCAAATACTGAATAAAGAATGAATAACTGAGGATATGATTAGAATGGCTGTGCTCAAATAAGTTAGCTTAAAAAAAAAAACCCCACCACAACACAGAATCACCATCATCACCATTAGAGCCACACTATATAAGATGCAACTCATAAAGGCTAGAAATCATCACCATATTAAATTCTACCTCATGAATAAATTAAAGGGTTCCTAAGTTTACAGTATAACATACATTTATAAGAAAACAAGGACCAAAAAGTGCCAGTATAATTCTATAAAAGAACAGCAGTCCTATGAAAATGAAAGGTGCACTTGTGAATCTTTTCTACATTGCAGCAGTTCATCAGAATTATTTTTGCTGCAATTCAGATTACTATTTGCTTTGCTAGATACTCCATGGGAAGTATACATATTTAATAATTATCTACTCATCATTTTTCATTTGTTATCCAGATATAGGCTACAAAATAAAGTGATGCCCAGTCTGCCCATGGTGTTTCAAGCAGAATTACAGTCCTCATTTTAAGATAACTACAGAACTTTAAAGAGGATGAAACATTAGTGCTTATCAGACCCAAAAAAGTACAAAAGGGCAATAATTAATTGTTCTTAGTCTCTGTCATAAAATCCAGCGTCAGCAACTTTATAATACCGAAAGAGCAAGAAAAGATGACATTTTTCATGAAACAATGAGATCCTCACTAATAATTTTTCAAACTACTCAAATGGCAGGATAATAAAAAGTCCATGTAGATTTGTGCTTGACCTATCTAGTCACCTCAAAACCAGTGTGTTTTTAATCTCATCACATTTTTAAACGCTCAGGTCTCCTTGAAAACTCAGATGCTGACAACTCTTGGAAAAAACCTGAATGCAGTTAACCAAGCAATTAGGTTTTAATTTACTTCAATGAGAGTCCTTCTGCCACTGATTTTTTTTGGAGATAATCTTTGAACTTATGTACATATGTAGGGCATGTACACGGGTATATGCATGTGTGTGTGCCCACATGTGTGTGTACAAATATTGCCCTCTAATGGCTGACTAGTAAAAACAGGGTAAGTAGCACCTAACTTAATTCTTAAGGCTACTTTAATTTGGGGGGGGGGGGGAATCAATTAAAGACCATGTAATTTTAGACCTACAACTACACATAAATTTATTTTAGTTACTATTGGTGATCTATAACTATCATTCCTCTAAGTGCTAGCATAGATCACATTTAACAAAAATGCCTTAATTCACAATCTCAGTAGTGGATTTTGTAAATCTAACTGCAAACTTTTATCCCCAGTGAAGCTAGAATATTTCAAAACACAGATTGTGTCATGGGATTCAAAAACTTCTAAAAAGTATTTACTTCAGTAAATGCTGTAGAATAAATTAGAGATAGGAAATACCTACTTGCTTTTTCAGCCCATCTCCCTGTCATAAACAGTTCCTTAGCAACTGTAAATATGTATCAGAGAGCTTGACTAATTTTCACTAAATGTTTGTAATTTAAGTTTTCTCTGATCAGTATGTTTCCGTGAGAGTGGTAAAACACATGGCTCTCTGCAGTAGTATAATATTCCTCTCTGTGAGTGTTTTAGAGTGGTTCTAAAAAGCTATTAGCCATGATGCTTTTTTCTAATTAACTCTATATCACAGGGTTAGACAAATCACCTCTTAGTCTGGGCAACAGCTTTCAAAAATAATTTTTTATAAGTGGCAGCTTACAACTGTGCCATTCACAGATTCTGTTTATGTTGTTTAAAACCAAATACCCTAGAATTTCTCTTATAGCACTGGGCTTGCTGCATAATGCTTTATTACATAAATTAAATTGTAGAAGAGCATCCTTGTGCGAGACCATTGGGCATATTCTTTCATGTGGACCACAGTGCTGTGCTAAATTTGTAAACATAATTGATCTTTGGAGGGATGCCTGTGCCTATTAATTTTTTTTAAAAGCATACTTTGCAGAAAATATCATCTTCATGTTCATTTGCTTATTTAAGAGGAGCAGTGGTTGCAGAACACAAATTTGGAAGAATCAAAATTTATCTTGCACAACTTGAACATTCTCAGACCAGAAAGAATAGAGAAGGATGATTTGATGGATATTAGTCAGGGTACTCTTAGGAGAGCATGTGGAAGTGCTCAGTCTCAGCTTTGGTAGATAATTGTTTTGTACTAAGGGAAACAGCTTGACTAAAGATAAAAGAAAGGCTGTGCTTCAGAATACCTTGTAGCTTGACAGTGAGGATACTTGGGATCTACAAGACATGGAAATATCTCTATATGGAAAGGAAGGAGCTGAATCTGTCCCTCACATTCCAAAGTAAGTGCTCCCAGCATGGAGCTAAGAAGTAGAAATCTACATTCCCTCCCAACCCATGTCAGAAAAATAAGATGTAAACGACACCTAAATTCATGTAGTCACTCTAGGATTCTCATTCTCTTTCAGTATAACTCCCATTTTTTTGATTCAGTGACACTGATTTCTGGTCAGTGTCAGCAATCATGTGGCAGGATTGCTTTTTAAAAAAAAAAGTCGATTAAAAAGAGCATCAAAACAAAGTACAAGCATTTTTCACTAATTCCTAACAATCCTGTTATTTGAAAACAGAATGTATTCTTGTCTTTTTAAAAACTGGCCATAGAATGAACAACTGAAAGCCCATTCTTGTCAGCAAAACCCCTTTTACTTCTTCCTTGATCTGTGGGTCACATCCTAAACTCCACAAGCTCCAGTTTGCTTATCTTCACTTCCTGATTTTACTGAGATTACTTAACCATGCACATTCCCCTGTATACTTATACTTTTGCTGGATTGGGGTCTTGCTGCCTAAACCTGTTATGCTACAGGTTTGTTTTCCCCAGTATTGTCACTCAAAATGTTTTGATCATTACATATCAATGTCAAAAAGTAGGAAATTAAGAGGTACTTAAAGTATTTTTTTTTTTGTTTAGGTCTAATATGTATTAACTTTAATAGAGAAAAGTAATGCATATAGTAAGCCCATAAGATAAGTTACTTACAGGAGCAGATTTTTTCTTAGTTATAAGTGGCAGCCTAGTCTCATAGTTCTGTTGTTTTAAAACAGCTGTATTACTGATGTTCTCTGGGTCAAGCATAATTTTCATATCCATTTCCAGCTGCTGCTGCAATATATAATATGCATAGTCTTAAAATAACTGCACTAGGACAGAAGTGTTTATAAGCAGGAATTGGCTAAGATGTTAATAAATTTGCAAAATGATGATACAAATTCATGTTATTTGAGTGTCCAAACAGAACTGATCAAACAATGAAAAAGTGCCTTTTGATTAGATGGGTGACTTAGCAAGGCATACAACTACTATCCACATATGCTTTTGCCAAAATTCAGTCAGTCAATTTCATTACAAGCTCTGAAATTTCCAAATTTGTGCACCTTTGAGTTAAACTTTGAGCAGAAAGGACAATCAGGTTTGACTCACTTGATTAACATACGTAATTTGTGAATACCATTTACCTGTGTTATAACAAACTTTTTATACACACCCTATCTATTGGGAGGGTGTTGTATGTGCATTCTTCCCACAGATGACAATAAGAGTCCAATCTACCTTGGCCATGTTTGCAAGAGACCTTAATTCATGAATCATTGACCTGATGGACCAGAACAGCTTCTTTGGATCGGTTATGGCCCATTGACTCAATGCAGACAGAGCACTTGCTTATAAGTAAATGAGGAAATAAAAAATCCTTATAGTGGTAAGAATTAAAACATAGTAGCTTCTTAATGTACTGTATTACATGCATGGAATGGATTCAACTATTTTGCTAATAAAAATTATTATTTAAATCCCGATGGACAGAAAAAGACTTTTAAAGTTACTTCTTGTTATAAGAAGCATCTAAAGCACACACTTTTTCTATAAAAGCCAGAAGTGATGCCATATATTTTTACTAGAGTAGAAGTTTCTTAAGTTGAAGACATTTTGGTTCATCTTAATGCATGGGCTTTAGTTTATAACTGGATCTGTATGAAGTGTAGTAGTATCTCCCAATACTTTTATTGCAATAACGTTGCTAACTATACTCTACATCCAACAGGATTTATTTACCAACCAGTGCCAAATAAGGAAGAAACCTCAAATGGCAGAAACTAATGTATCACCAGAAAAGTCAACAGACCTAAGGCAATTCAGAGGAGCTGGGGGCCTGGCAGTGTATGTGCTTAATTCCCATTACGTGGATACGGGAATACAAAAAGCTCCCTTACACAGTAAGATCCAACTAAACATATTTATACACAAGAACTCTCTGCTGATACTTCTATTACATAAACATAAAAAAGGAATTTATGAGACTTCTGTTTTTTTAAAAACAAAATATGCTATAAAAAATGTGAGAATCATTAGAGGTATATTTGACTTATGAAACAATTGTATTACTTTGTGAAAGCACTAAAAATGGTTTAATTTATTTATCTGCACAATATATTCTCTTCTTTTGATAATAATTACAAGCAGATGTATCAATGAGATGCTCATTTAGATTTGGGTTTCTAAGAACAAAAGTTATTATCCAAGCCAATTACTCTTTTACCCACATGGCTGCACAGAGACAGAAAGTTCAATTTTCACCTTGTCAGTGATTTTGTGGTATTTATTTTATTACTATAACACACCGCTGTACAGAAAGGAAACTGCTTGTGCTATTAAACAAGAATTGGGGGAAAATTGAGTACCTTCTCAATTAAAATAGGAGATGATTCACAATGCAGACTCCCCACTCAGACTGACAGTGGAATGATCAATGCTGGAGTGGCAGATTTCACACAGGATAACAAGAATTGAAATGCTTAATAAAAAAACTGATAAAAGTTACTTTGTCAGCTTAGATGTACGGCAAGTGACAGTTCTACATTTGCAGAAGCTGGAGCAGATGGTATCATGGGTCTCTTCCATCTACATTATTCATCCATCTATTATCTGAAGTCTAAAATTTAAGCTATCTTGAACCATCTTGAGGTAGAACAAGAAAAAGATGAGAACTGCAGGGCAAATAGTGCATTATTACTAATATAATGCTCAACGAGAATGAGAATTATTGTGCTTAATTATTAACACGGAATATACTGGAGTAAACAGAACAGGTTGACATGTTCAGTACAGTTAAATGGTTCAAATCTTGTTCTACTTCAACACAAAAGTCGTTTCAGAATGGAGTGCATTTTTATCATGTAGTAAGCCAACAAATCTGATTCACTAGGTAATTCTGTTTTGCAGATGCATGTGGTGCATGGTTTCCAGTAGAGTCCTATTCCTTTACGAACGGACTACATTATATTAATCTTTGAAACAATCTGTATTATTGGTAACTAAACCACTTTTCATATCTAGCTATTTATGTTATTTGCATATTCTAGAGCCCCCTAGAAACATCTTTTCATTTATATCTTTAACTCTTAATGATGAGAGAATGTTAACTCCTACTGTGTATTCAGAATGTCACAGAAAGTATCAACTTCTAGAAAACAAAAAACAAAAAAAACCCCTAAAACCAAAGCTGCACAAACATCAGTTCGGGTGTTTTCAATTAAGCATGTTTTTAAAAAAAAAAAATTGAACTTATACACCTACCAGTTATGGATAACAATGTTTTTTCAGCCATTGCTATACAGAGGCTTTACAATTACTGCATGAGGAAGACACCTTTTTATGGTTCTTACAACACATGGGGGGGGGGCGCACGCGGGAAGGGGGGAGACAGTGCTTCACAATTCCCCCTATGAGCTAGATTTGCAGAGTCTTATCCGGCTGCTACTATGACTCAGAAATACTGTATGTGTGAGTAAACAATAATTTTAAGCCTATTCTGACACCTGTGGGCAAGCTATTTCCCATATGACAAGTATTCTAGCAATGTGTATGTGAAAATAGCATCTGTGCTTATTTGACTCCAACCTTGTTTCATCCTAACTGCTACAAACACAACTTATGCTCCATTTCTACTCTTGCACGGCATACTATGGACTGCAAAGCACAAAAATACTACTGTGTGAATTATTAACTTCTCTCAGAACCACTACGAGTTGAAACGTTGATTTCTTCAAGCCTATGTAGGTAGAAATACTGTCTGCTAACGGAAAACTATTCAGTTCTCTAATATTTCCTTTGAGTGGAAAGGAATTTTGAAAAACACCAAAGAATGCTTAAAAAGCCCAAACTGTTTATAGCTACAAGTAAGGAAAAGACAGGAAGTAAGGAATTGTAGGTGATAATTTCCCAGCTGGATTTCACAACTATTTAATAATAAAAGCCTTCTATGTTGGCATGCTGGCCGTGTAGAACAGCTGGCAAAACAGCACTGTTTGCCATTTTCTTTATAATAGGAAATTAGGGCTAGCTTGTGTGTCACTGGATATGCATTTCTAAGCAGATGCCATAGATATCAGAAATGAAAAGACAAAGAGAAAGTCAAGGCAGGACAGAGCATGTGTTCCACTGTAAATTAAGCTCATTGCTGCACATGAAGAGTTGAAAGACCATAGATAATACAGAGTTTATAGAGTAGCTGAACTCTGGTAATTTTTTTCCCCTCACAATGTAAGTGTATTCATATAGGACAGGGTTGGAATACCATCTGGAAAAAAATCAGCGATCTCATTGCACCTAATCCATCATTTCAAGAGCAAGCAATGTTTTAATACTACTTTATATTGGGATTTCTTTTACAAAGATAATCAGCAATATAAGTCTTAGGCTGCTCATTCTAGTTATACCATTTCAAGTAGCTTCAATCCTTAGCTTCTGGTAAGTCTCTGAACTACAGAGAGCCTCTTCTTAAGGTTCTCTCTCACTCAGAGTTCCCTTGAATTTAAACAGTAATAACCCAAAATTGTGACAGTGGGTATTTTTCAATTCAACTAATTACCTTCATTTGTTTTTAAAATATGTTTGAGGAAACCACCTTGAACTCACCAGTCAAAATTCACAGCTTAGAATAAAAAAGCAAAAATACTTCAGATACAAACATTTTAAGAAGGCTTTAAATGATTTTACAAGGATTTAATTTATAAAAACAGCGAAAAATCAGATTTCAAGAAGAAAACCTATATTTATCATAGAGATGACTACCCTATACATGAACAGAAGTCTTTCCTACAATTTGCCAAATCTTTTATGCAAAAACAAAAGAACCACTTTTAGTCTCAAACAACACAAACATTTATATCTGTGCTCATGCTATTCCAATATATAGTTCCATTTATTTTAGACACGTTACTTGCAGAATTGCAGTTAAGCATACAGTATTTGCAGGACTGGGACCTTAAAGCCAAACAAAGACCTGGTTTCAGAACTCTTTAACAATATACTCGGGGGGGGGCAGGGAGACACACCAAAGAATGGAAGGCTTGTGGATGCATCCATGATAATACTGAAGTCCTTCCTAACTTTTTTATCTGGACTGTGAAGCTGGGAGAAGGCTCCTATCTCTCAGCCTGCTCATTCTACTGACAATCTAACACTTTCAGTCATAGATGGTATATTATCAAAAACTGAATCCATGTGGAGTCAGAACATAACTTTACGGGATCAACTGGTAACCTACAAGACACCAGCTTTATTTAATGAGGTCTCTGGCAGAATAAGTAGTATGTTATTTCAGACCTGTGAACTTTGAGAAACACGTAGTGCTGATTTGCTGTATGCCTGGACAGTCACGGGCTCAACAGGTACTCGTGGTAAAATAAGCTGTTTCTGAGAAGCACCAAAATGAAGGCCCCTGATTTAGAAAGAAACAAACAGTGAGGTTTTTAAAAATTACTTTGATTTTACCTATTAAACCCATACTGCTTCCATGTGGTTGAATCTGAAAGACTGTATTTTTATTTAAATTTGTGTTTAGCAAAAAATTCACAGGAGTTAGCAGAAGGTTGCTGTAGCTACTCAGAACTGCATTTATTTTTGTATTGTTTTTTAACTTAAAATAAAACCAAAATGCAAATGACCAAAATAACCTCGCCAGGGCCAATACTCGCATTTGCTTTACCAGTTTCTGATACCACAGTTTTTCTGTCTTGCTGCTTGCATTTGTCTCTGCAATAAAACAGCTGTTTCACTTACCATTTAGGGGGCTCTTTTGAATGTACTTCTTTATTATCAGTAGAAGAAATAGTTAACGCTTGTCTGTTTAAATCATGTAAATAATTTTCAGCATGTTTCTGTTAGAAGGAAAAAATAATGTTTAAACTATTACAAAGGTATGAGGGATATTAAATTTATTTAACTCAGCTAATTTAGCAATCCAGATCTTCATTTGACTGAAAAGTTGATAGGCTTTGTGCTTCTGTTGGACTAAATCCAATTTTGGCCAATGGTACGAGGCACAAGATCAGTTAATTCTGGTGACCCAAAAGAGGAAGCCATCATTCTGAACTGTAATGTCTGATGAATCCCATCATTTGCTAATCAGAAAGGGATCTTGCAGGATGATAAATACATGGCCCCATGTACTCTAAGTGAATTACTGAGAGATCTCAAAAACTGAATCGTCTTCTGGATCTGCTCCATTTTACTTACTCTCAGCCCAAGTTCAGTTCTTTCAATTGCTGTTTTGAGGTCGCTAATATCCACAGCTTTTACATTTCCTTTCAAGTTGATATTTTTCACTTCACACTTCTGAAGGTCATCTTGAACCTAAAAAGCAAATTATGACAAAAAATCATACCCATAACCAAAACCCATGGGATTATGTAGCAAGATTTAATCCAGATTAAATGCTTCCTAAACACAGGAAAGAAATACATGCAACTTCCCATACTTCTGTACTTTTATAAATAAGAGAATACAAAGCCAATGACTATAAAGCCATCGATTGTAGAAAACCTGAAAAAAGTTAATTTTAAAACAAATCTCACAAAACAAAGGCAATAAACTTCAGGACTGAGGTCCTTTGCCAAAGAATGATGTTTCCTTACACATTTCAAACATCTCTCTTGGCATAGATAGCTTAACTATGCAGGAATCTCAAAAGTGTTAACGAGGGACTGAGAAGTAGAGGCAGCCTGTGAGGAGATCATGTCAGCCCACGTCAGAAACATATATTTACACTGCGTTAACTAAAAAATTCAAGGGCTCATTGTGCTAAGAATCATAACACTCACAAAGCCCAAGCCCTCATCTAAAATTCACCGGCGACACCGCAGCCGCTCCCTCCTCATGCAAAGCCTGAGCCCTCCCGTCCCCTCAGCAGCAGGCCGCGCCGCCCGCGCCTCAGCCGAGGCGTGAGGCGG